CCCCCCCCCCCCCCCCCTTTCCCCTCATCCCCCCATTAGTCATTTCAGCTGTTTTCAACAAGATTAGAAACATTTTATTAAAAAAAAAAGATATAAATATTGTAGAAATATTTTCCAGTGTGTGTTCTTTTTGATTCATGATTTAATTAGCGTTCAACACAAAAGCCAAGAAATCAAAAACCCTCTGGATTGGCTCTACACGAACTGCAGGGCATTCAAAGTTGACCGAATGGTAGAATGTGCCAAAAGCAACCACTCGCTGGAAAGATTTTTGATGAAATTTTCTTCCGAAGAGTGCTTAGGACCAAGCTCTTTGATCCCCCGGCATGCCTAGTAGCAAGTTATCATCGAAACGAACGAAACAAGTCGTAGGGGGACTGGAGGCGCCGAACTATCGTTCTCCAGCGGAAACCAGCGCTATTTGCTATGGCAACAAAGTAACCAGTGTCAAAAAAACGCTCCAGTTTACTCACTGATCGAGAAGGCTGTTCGGAACCGAAGTAGACTGTTTCATCTCATTATCATCATCGCTTGATACAGAGATCCGCTGCTCATCGTTATCCAGCGCTTTCTTCACACATTTTTCTTGCAAACCTATACGATATAACAGTAATTTTTAGGAAAATTTCAGTGACATTATTAGCGGCATTACATATTCCTTTCCACATAACATTTCAACATGTCATACGGTTTCGTGCCACATGAATCACCCTATAATCTTTCCCTTTCCACCATAATTTGACTTTCTTAAACTAACCCTACTCTAAGTTAAAATAACTGCATTTTATATTGTCTGTGTTTACAGGTAAGGGATGAAAGACAGGCAGACTATTTCCTATACATCCCTCTCCAAATGACCTTTCAATATATCACACGATTTTGTGTCACATGGACAACCCTACTACCTTTTCCATCATAATTTATTGAACTAATCTCACCCTAATTTAAGCTTTTCGGGCTATGGCCATTCCACATTTTCCATTCAGGGTTAGAGAGAAAATATGAGCAAAAAACGATGAAAGGGTTGTAAAGAATTATTAAAGTAGGGGTAAGAAATGTTTCGGTCCATTAAGTCGTATACACTTTTTACCTTTACCACAATTGGACCTCGTCAGTACGACGATTGTGGTAAAAAAATTTTAGGGCTGCCTGCTTGTTTCGGAGACTACAGTTCCACCTACCAACGGATGCAAATTATTTTAACTTTAAGGTTGTTAAAAAAAACCCTCCTTCGTTTTAACTTTCTGACTTCGGCCATTCCAAATTTTGATTTCTGTGGACCGTCCATTTCTTTTAAAGGTTACGATTCGGCCTTCTAAGGGCCGTAATTTATCACCCCTCATAAGAAAGAGTATCGTTGTTCATAATTTCATGCAGATTCGCGCCTAACGCTACGAAAAAAAGCAGACACCTTACTTTTTGCCTCATTAGCTGCCGCCTGAACGGATTGAAGTAATCCAAGAATAGTGGTTCGCTGATTTTCGACCGCTTCCAAACGATCAATTTTCGATTGCAGCTCTTTCTTTACTGCTTTCAGTACCGTTTGCACGGATTCAATCAATTTCGCGGTGTTCTCACAGTCCGCCTGACCTATCTTCAAATAATTCTGCAAGAATTTTTACAAATCAGCTAGCACTTTAGGTAAGGATTTTCACTGCTTTGTACTTTGGTCTGAGCAAAAACACTGGAAATGTTGTCTGGTTCCTGAGTTGCAAAATTTCCCACTAAAAATTTCACGCACCAGCACGTGAAAGCCGAACCTGAAACTTTGGACGGTGAACATCCTTCCATCTCCTAATTTTCTGACATTCGAGTGGTTTTTGCGCCAAAACATTCACGTGGTCGTACGTGAGACCTCGGCATACCTGGGACTTTATAATGCCCCTTCATAAGCAGAAAACATCCGAGAAATTTTCAGCCTCCTAGCTCTTCTGGTTCTCGAGATAATGATTTTTTCCAACAAAATTTTCATGGTGACGTTGAGACCCAAGCGTACGTGAAACAACAGCTGAATGAAGTATTGGTACAAATAACATATGTTAAGGGAAATTTTCCTCTGCTGTCCCTACGAAATAATGATTCCCGAGTTAATAGTTTACCCGCCAAAATTTCCACGAGGCCATAGGTGATACTCAAGAGCGCGCGAACGCTGAATTTGAATGGGCAAGGTTGACCGTGGGCAGGAGGTCATTACCCTAAAATTTCAGCCTCCTAGACTCCGTGGTTCCCGAAATATTAATTTACCCGTAAA